ACCACTCCTGGTACCAATTACTGTATTAGTCACTTTTCTGTTGCTGTGATAGAAACACTGACCCAAGCAATTTATAGAAGGAAGAATTTGTTTGAGCTTACGGTTCCAGGGGAATTACAGTCTGTCTTGGCAGGGAGGCATGGTGGCTGGAGGTGGCTGGAGCAGGAGCAGCAGAAGCTAAGCTCTCACATTATCACTCAGGCACAGGGAGCAAGAGAACTGGAGATCTGGCAAGGCTTAAGAACTCTCTAAGCCCACCCCAAGTGACATGCTTCCTCCAGGATAGCCACACCTTCTAAAACCTCCCAAAACAGCGCCATCATCTGGGGACAAAATATCCAATACTTGGAGCCTATGGGGGACATTTTCATTCAAACCATCACAACTATGAGGAACTTGAGCCTATAGGAATGGAGGGAGATCTGTGGGGACCATCCTTAAGAAAGTTTTAAGTGGTGGGTGGTGGCACACACCTTTAATCCCAGCACTTGGGAGGCAGAAGTGGGCGGATCTCTGTGAGTTCAAGGCCAGCCTGGTCTACACAGAGAGTTCCAGGACAGCTGGAGCTACAGGGAGACCCTGTCTCAAAAAGACCAAAAAAAAGAGGGTGAGGAACAGAGGGAAGTAGAAGGAAGGATGGATGGATGAGGGACAGAGAAGGAAAGAAGTGTCTGTTCTTGGGAGGAAATGTGACCAAGTTGAGCCAGACTGGTGCCCTGGTAGGGGAGGGGAACCTCAGCCTCCATGGTGCTAGATGAACATTCTTTATACCCTCAGTAGGACTCCCCCTGTTGCAGGGCCCTGCTGACCACAGCCAGCCCCAGTGGACCCAGGCTGGGACTCCTCACACCCATGAGCAGCTGGAACCAACTCACCGTGGAAGCACAGCAAGTACTCCTCTCGCTGCCCGGCACTATTTGCCTGCACGATGGAGACAGGGAAGCTGTTGGACGAGGAGGCGAACACAGCAGGTGCCAAGGAGTGGTCGTTCTTATCCAGGAACTCTGTAAAAGCAGGCGAGAAGTAGCTTCAGGAATGATTCCCAAGGCTCAGCAAGGCCTGAGCCACAGTGGGGTGGGGAAGATGACGGCAGCCCTACCCTCGAGTGTGTACTGCTTCATGTCGATCTCGTAAAATTTGTTGGTTCCGATGAGGATGCTGTAATTGGTGAAGTGGATACAGCTGCAGGGCTCCGAGGTTTCAATCTCCTGTGACAAGAGGGCAAAAAGGCATGAGAGGTAACACAGGAGGCCCCGTTTCCTCTTCTCTCTGAGCCTCTTCACCAAGCCTCTCACGCCTGTCAAGACAACCAGAGACCTGTTTACTACCTTCTTACTATGCCAGCCCAGGCTTCCTCAGAAAACAAGGCCAAATTCCAATCCCCAAACAGGTGAGAAACACCATTTCAACAAGTAGGTAAAACTTTAACAATATAGTTTTATAGGAGCCAAAAAGAATGAACACCAAATATTAACGCTGGCAATTAGGATGCCGGGTATAATGGTCTCCTTTGAGCTAGCTTATAATGTGCTCATTTCTAATTTGCATCTGCATTATCTACACATCATTATTGCTCCTTAATTATTTGTACCCATTTGTATCCTAATCCTAATATCGTTAAAACAAAACAAAATAGGGCATGCTTACTCAGAGTGGTAGCCAGGACTCATAGATAAGGATTTCTGAGACTTTTCTTAAAGCCAACAGTTCAAATTTAATCATTATCATGATTATCATCACCACAGAGTATTTACTGGTCACCTACCAAGTCTGAAGAAACAATGAGGTATCACAATGCCATGAAAGGGCAGGAAAAAAATAAATCAAACTCAGTTTTGATCTCAACTTTGTAACTTTCGCTTTTTTCCAGTGTCACTATCCTATTTTCAAATCAGAAAAACTTTAGAATAGCCAGTCCCTGACACAAAGGTGGTCAACAGACACCAACTAAGCTAGCCTAAAATGAATTAATTTCATTAACAAATAACAACCTCTACATATAATTCACACCTTTTCACTCTTGGTACTAATCATGAAATCACCAGACAGAAGCCAGGATTATCAAGACACCTTTTCCACACAGGAGTCACCCTCACAGGGTACCCTGTTTCCAGGAGAACCAGACCCCTGATCACAAGTCAAAGCAAGGTCAGCAGTGGCTTGTCCCTTATCAACAGAAACCTTGGGACAGAGAAAGATCCTGGCAGGTGATGCTCAGGACTGCTAACTTCTGAGCAAGAGTTCCTTCTTTTCTGGTGATTCAAAAGGGATGTCTTCTCCATCTGCCTCCAAAGAAAGCAGAGTTTGCTGGACAAGGTAGGGAGGCAGTTCCCAAACAGGAGAAGAAAAAGCAAAGGAAAATTGGTAACAACAGGCTCTGAGATTTCCCAGGAAAGATGCATCTCCCTCTCTCGGAAAGTCACTGTAGGCACAGTACAAAGGACCAAACACATGCCTTCTCTAAGACATCATGCTTTTGACATGGGCTCCCAGGGAGAAGAGCTGGCTGGGTCAGAGCTTACCTTCCGAATGCAGTACTTGCTGAGGTTTTCATTGTAGCGGAGGATGACAACTTTGTTAGGCATGGCTGCACAGATGCAGAGTCCATTCTCAATCTAAAAGGTCATTAGGGAAAAAGAAAACGTGTTACCAGTATGAATACTAGCTCTATATCAAAATGAGAAAAGGAACATGATACAGAGCAGGTTTCCTCAAGCCCATCATTAGTGATAGCACAGACCAGCTCATTCTCTGTGGTGGTACAGGCAAGAGGTCTGTCTCCTGGACACTGGAGGATAATGGTGTGTCATGACCTTAACTACCAGAAGCCTGCAGCACCCTCAAGTTGTGACTCCCTCTAGATAGTACCAAATGTCCCCTAGGGGGGCAGAATCATGCCCTGTGAGAACTACAGGCTTAGCTGGGACCCAGAGAAGGGCTTGGGATCCATCTGACACCACACATGTCATATATATGTGCCTTTGGCTGGACACAGACTTTTCTGACAACAGTGCCCTGAGGAGGACCAGGTGACATGAGGAAGGTGAAGGATGGCAGTAGAAACTGCTGCAAGAATTGAAAGGAACTTTGCATGGTGGTTAACTTTCATTGTCACCTTTGTGATTTGGAATCCCTAGGAAACACCCCTCTGATCCTGTTTAGGAGAACATTTCCAGAGCAGGTTAACAAGCAGGAAGACCTACCCTCGATGTGGGTGTGTTTCTGTTGCTCTGATAAAATACCCCGACAAAAGTAACATAAGGGAGAAAGGTTTTATTCTGGCCCACGGGCCAAGTCCATCATTGCAGAGAAGCCAAGGTGGCAGGAGTTTGAGGCAACTGATCATAGGATATCAGGAAACAGAGACCAAAGAGTGAATGCTAGATCTCAGCTTGCTTCGCTCACACTATACAGCCCAGAAATTCCCTGCTTAGAGAATGGTCCTGTCCACAGTTAAATGTGTCTTCTCACATCAAGTAGCATACTCAAGATAATCCCCCAGAGCCTTTCTCCAGGTGATTCTAGATTGTCAGGTTGGCAATTAACACTAAGCATCATGGGTGGGACCATCCAGCGGGCTGGGGTCTGAGTACTGAAGACAGAAGGGAGAAAGGAGGAAGGCTAATGAGGGCCATCACCATCGCTCTCTGCCTCCTGATCCACCCGTATGTAAGCAAACAGCCTTGCACTTCCACTGCCATGATGGACTGACTGTCCTGCCTCAAACTGTGAGCCACAAGAACCCCTTCCTTCCTTAAGTTGCTTCTGGTCATGGATTTCATCAGAGACAAGAAAAGTAATAAATACACTTTGGGTCCAGAGGGAAAAGTTCATTGCTAGGATCTATAAATAAAGAGTTCTACAGAAAAACACTTTCTAGAACAGTTGAGCCCCTTTTCTGTCTCCCACAGCTAGATCTTTGCCTTTCATCAACAGTGGAAAGAGGTTAATTGCTCACATCAGTCCTAAAAATGAAGGTCAGTAGCCAAAGGGGGTAGGGTTAAAACAGAGGATAGGAAAATGAACGCTACTAGTAATGCTCTTGTAATTTCCAGGGATTTTATAATTTACATTCACATCTCATACTTTTTTAGTATTTCAAACAACAAAATTATTTATAACAAACACACTAATTTCTGGAAGCTAACATATACATCTCTAAGTAACTCATTGTTCACAGGAGACATTTTAAAATATGTGAAATGGTATAAAGAGTCCACACCAAAAACTAGGAGGCCAGGAGAGACAGCTCAGTGATTAAGAGCACTGACTGATCTTGCAGAGGACCCAGGTTCAGATTCCAGCACCAACAGTGACTAACATCCATCTGTAACTCCAGTTCCAGATAATGTGATGCCCTCTTCTGCCTCCGTGGGCACTGAATGCATATGGTACACTCACAAACTTGCAGGCAAAACATACATGCAGGTGAAACACTTGCATACAATAGAAAAATAATTTTTTTAAAAGATACAAGGCAGTGGGGATAAGCGAACCTGAGTTCTATGCTAATGAGTTCCAGGCGAGCCAGAGCTTACACAGATAGTAAAACCCTGTCTCCAAAAAAAGATAAATACAAGGTACAACTAAAACAGCAGTTAGAGGAAAATGAAGAACCTTAAAATGCTTATATTAGAAAAACACTATAAAATGTAATGAGCTAAATAAGAAATTAGAATAGGGAAAGTCGGAAAACTAAATGAAAGTTGCGGGGGGGCAGCAAAAGTCAGTAACAAATAATGCTACAATACAGACAATAGAATGAAAAATTGCTCCTTTTTGGGTCCAAGCAAACACATGCCACAGTACATGGGTAGAGGTCAGAGGACAACTTTTGGGAGTCAGTTCTTATCTTCTGCTTTGTGGAGTATTGTAGAATGTGGTCCTCTGAGCAAAACAGCCATCATCTTCAACAGATCAACTGTGACTGCTTGTAAGAGACCATCTAGAAGATCACCTGCAAGTCCAGCTGCCACCCCCCATTTGTATGTAATCCTGCCCTAACTGTATGTGACTTGGGGGCAGGCATCTCTGGAGGCGCTAGAGAATACAGTCTGGGGAAGGTGAACTGAAGGAGGGGACTCCATCTACTTGGCTATAGGGAAACCATCATCTATGCTGGATGAAGACTTTCCAGTACAGCAGCTTTGAGGTTACCTTTACTCCTAAAACGATTCTATAAGTAAGCCTGATAAATGCATTGGGTCCCCAGGGTGAATGCTGGGGGAATTGTGCTTTGGTTTTTAGTTAGGATCCTATAATGAGTTAGACACTAGCTACATCTCACTAGTGAAAGAATTCTTGGAACACTGAGGTAGCACCTGTCTTGTTTCTTCCACTCTGTGCACCCAGGTTAGCTGGCCTGAGAGCTTCCAGTCACTGTTTCCATCTCTGCTTCCTATCTCACTGTACAAGTGTCACTGCATCCAGTTTTTTACATGGATTCCAGGATCAAACTCAGGTCAGAGGGCTTATGTAGCACGTGCTTTTACCTGCTGAGCCATCTTTCCAGCTAAAGCTGCTCTTTTCTAAAGATAATGAAGTTGCTAGGCATGGCAGCTCACGTCTGCAGTCACAGCATTCAGGAGGCTGAAGCAGGACTACTGCCACAAGTTTGAGGCCAAATTGGATTACGGTACCAGACCCTGTCTCATAGTATCAAACACCGCCCCCCAAAAAAGATTCATAGAATTTACATAAAAGATATGGGGGTTGGTGAGATGGCTCAGTGGGTAGGGGCACATGCAATATAAACCTGACCTCAGTTCCATCCCTGGATCCCACATGGGGGTAGAAGAAGTAAATTAACTCCACAAAACTTGTCCTCTGACCTCCACACATGTGCCATGGGACACATGTGCATCCCCCCAATAATAATTGTTAAAAATTAAAATATTTGGCATAAATAATATTAGTCCTAGAACAGACACCTCTGAGAGGTTGGTCAAGTATGTAAGATGTGCTTGGTACATACGCTGGCACTGAGATACAAGAGGTAGCGGGTTTATGGCAGAAATCCAACAGTATCAGGAGCTCTACAAATGCTTGGTTCCGATGCCATTAGCATCATGTATGTGTGCGTGTACACACCTATACAGTCTTAGCTTTTTCAAAGAAAAAATTTTAAAGATGCAAACAAGTAAGTGTATTTATGTGTGAAATCTCAGTATGCTAAAAACCACAAGAAAATTCACTTGAGTTCTGGCAAAGTGGTTTCACTTTATACGGTTGGCTCTCGGCACCCTCGGGGCTCTGAGGATGTAGATTCAGCCAACATAAATAGAAAATATTTGGGGCAGGGGAATGATGTCTGTTCAGAACATGCTAAGAACTTTTCTTGAGATTATACCCTAAGTGATACAGCATAACAACAATTTAACAGCATTTAGTGTTATAAGTAATCTAGAGATGAGTTAAAGGCCATGGGAAGATGTATAGGATTATATGAAAACACTCCATCATGCCACACAGAAGAAAGGGCTGGGGCATCCCTGAATTTTGCTAGGCTGCAAGGGGGGGCGGTCCTAGAACCATTCCCTGACAGACATAACTTAGTAGACACAACTAAATAAAAATCATAAATTAGAATTTGTAAATTTCTAGTAATAAACACCCTTTCGTTCAATTTAGACATAAGGTTCCACTTTATATTATTCTAAAGATTTATTTTGTATTTTACGTGTATGTGTGTCTGTGAGCATATACGTGTGAGTGTCTGAGGACAGAAGAGGGCAATCCGATCCCCTGGAGCTGGATTACCAGGCAATTATGAGACACCCATCATAGGTACTAGGAACTGAACTCCCATCCTCTGCAAGAGCAGCATCTTAACCACTTGGCTATCTCTCCAGCCCATTAATTTTAAAAGCTCATCATACACACACATACTTTAAAACTATGGATCATCCTTTACTTTCACTAACTTTATTCTCATGTTTCTCAGACATTTCCTTCAGATTCAAAGCCTGGGCAAACTTCATCACTACCCAAACTATTTACATGCCAAAAAGAAGTAGCAGAGACTTAACCTGGTCTGAGACACCCAATTTTCAAAGTCAACTCAGTAAGTTCTGTGGGAAGAGACGTGCCACTGATTTCTAGAACATTCTGCCAGCAGGGGCTTGAGGGCAGTTTACCTTGCCAGCAGCAAACAAGTGGCAGCCCTTGACAGCTTCAAATATGTTGGGTGAGATGTCCGGCTGGGCGGGAAGGTGCGACTGTGCCAGGGACTGCTTCACTTTCTTCACGTCCACCAGACACAGGGCCCGCTCTTCTCCTGAGAGGGAAGGAACAGCGGCTGTCAGGGTAAGGCCCTGACGTGAAGTCACAGAGGGAACTCAAGTTCTAGACAAAGAAACCACGAGAGGGTGTGTAGGCAGATTAGAGGGCACCTCCCATTAAAATGCACGGGGTTTTAAAAGTACTCGGATTCTGCAACAGTTGTCTACATACAACAAATGGGGATAGGACCCAAATGTACACACAAAATTCCTTTACATTTCACAGTACTTTCTGGGCCCTTGTGATTTGCTTGAAGCCTGTCTGGGATTATGGAACTTTCTATCTGTGGCATTGTGCTGGCACCTGAGGCTTTAGACAGTGTAGTATTTGGGATTTTCTGATAAGGAAACTCAACCCATAAACAGTCATCATTTGAGCCCATCTAAAATGAAACCATATGACCTTTTAAAATTCAGAGGGAATAATTTTGCATACATAAAATTAGAGAATGTCAGCTGAATTTCAAACATGTTGCTAATAAAGGAAAGAATGCTTTATGGGGCAATGAGGGGAGACACTATAAAACACCAGGCTTGGACCATCCAAATATATTCATGTCATGACAAAGGAAGGATGGAACTGTTCCAGAGTGAAGACACAATTAAAAGTACTGTGTGTAATCCTGGGTTGGATAATGAGTGATGGTGGATTAGCACAGAAAAAATTTTTTTAATCATGGCTACCCTTAAAAATCCAGCCACGGGGGCTGGAGAGATGGCTCAGCCAGCGGTTGAGAGCACTGGCTGATCTTGCAGAGGACGTGGGTTCGGTTCCCAGCACCCACATGGCATCTACAAACCGTCCTTAACTCCAGTTCCAGGGGAATCCGAAGCCCTCTTCTGACCTCTGCGGCACTGCACGACATGGGTGCACTCACATACATGCAGAAAATACACTCATACACATAAAATAAAAATAATAAATAAAATATTTTTAAAAAATATCCAACCATGGGTAATAGATTAGATAGCTGTATTACAGCAAAGGCTAAATTTCCTGAATGCAAAAATCGTACCATGTACTATTCTGTATGATACCATATGATACATGTGACTAGGCAATGTAGAGCACTGAGCAAACCCTAATGTCAACTATGTGCTTTGCTTGGGTGATAATGATGCTTGTGTGGGTTTCTCAAAAGCAACAAATGTGCAGTCTGGTGTGGATAGTGATGATGCAGCAGGCTGTGTACATGAAGAGGATGGGTACACAGGACATCTCTGTACCTTCCTCTCCATTTTGGTGGGAGTCTAAAGCTGTTGTATGAATTAGGAAGGGAAGAGGCCAGGGAGGGAGAAGAAGGCAAGGCAAGCGCCAAGATCCAGAAAAAGTCAGTGCCTTGCCATATTTACTCACTCTATGGATCTAGCCATACCTGAAACAAGATCTAAGCAGGGTTATTTTGAACACTAAGGCAATAAATTATGGTTTTTCCTTTAAAGGGCAGGGGAGGTGAGGAATGTAGTTCAGTTGACACAGTGCTTGTCTGGTATACATGAAGTGTTGGGTTCCATCCCAACACCACAGAGACCAGCTGTGGTGGCACACACCTGTACACTCAGCACTCAGAAGGTAGTGGCAGGAGGAAAAGAAGTACAAGGTCATCCTCCAGCTACACAGAGGGTTCGAGGCCAGCCTGGGACGAATGAGGCACTGTCTTAAAAGTACTGTTAACAAATAATGAAGGTAAAAATAGGTCACAGTCATGTGAAAGAATGTCCCTGGTTCATAGGTTCATATGTTGATGAACTTGGGGGATCATAACTATAATTAACTGAAATGGTTCAGGACAATGTGTGCGTGCGTGCGTGCGTGTGTGTGTGTGTGTGTGTGTGTGTGTGTGTGTGTGTGTAGAGAGAGAGAGAGAGAGAAAGAGAGAGAGAGACAGAGAGAAAAGACCTGTAACAAAATGTAACAAAAAGTAAGTGGTAAATCCAGATGAAGGGTCTATCAGCACTGACCAACTCAAGATCTGGTAGTAACCATGTAGTGATCATGTGCAGCGGTCATGGCCCACACTGGGACTGATGCAATTAGAACAAAGGGCTTGATGCCTGGCAAGGTGGTGCCTGCCAGGAATTCCAACCCTTGAGAGGTGGAAGGAGGATCAAGGCCAGCCTGGGCAACATGAGACCCTGTCCAAAAGAAAAAGTGTGACATAATCTTTGAGGCTTGGCATTTATTATGGTTTAGATATGGTTTGGGGATTACTCAAGGGTCCATGTGACTGGAGGCTTGGTCCCCAATGTCTTGCTGCTGAGAGGTGCCAGGAAGCCTTTAAGAGGTAGTGAGAGCCTAATGGGAGGTCACTGAGAGCACACTCTTGGAAGGTAGCTCTCAGGAAAGGACTGTTAAAGAAACAAGCCTGGCTCTACCCACTTCTATGTGCTGACACAGTCAGCCAATTCCTGTACTTGCTCCTGCCCTGCTGGCTGCCATAAGGTGAGGCAGCCGAGGAGGAGCTCTCACCAAGCCAGCACTATGCCATTTGGACTTCTGAACTTCCAGAGCTGTGACATAAATAGACCTCTTCTCTTCATCAACAGCCTGTCTCAGGTATTTCATAACAGTGATGAATGCTGACACAGCATTCTTACTTGGCATAACAGTAAGGTGTTCTTTGGGAATCTCAGATTGTGTCTGAACACTGAAAGGGAATTAAATGTGGACAAAGTTGAGGCTTGGCATCAACAGACTCACAGAGAAAGGAGCCAACCTGCTGCTCCAACCAGCTACCAGGAGGCCTTCTCTTTCTGTATCACCAGCATGAAATTCAGCTCTCAAATTGTTGTCTGTAAAATTAAACAAAAAGGCTGTGTCCTGGGCCTCCCACCTGCTATCATAAGGAGCTTCTCCAGGTCCTTGATGATATAAATTTGGAAGACTGCTCCAATTCCTGGGATGTGGGTTAAGGAGTTTTTCAAGACATTCAGTGCATAAAGCCCTTCCTCGGTGCCCACCAACACCACCTGTGAGGGCAGAAGTCCAAAGACAGAACATCTGTCACCATGACAATTCCAGCTTGAAGAGCTACAAAGCCAAACCACCGCCCCTTGTTTCCTGACAGTGTGTGACTGCAGTCGGACACCTAAGCACACTGCCTGGAGAATGTACCTGGTCGCTGAAGGGCAGGGTACAGTTCATGTCGAGCCGGTCATCACCCTCCAGTTTCAGCAGAGAGTTTCCAAGTAATTTCTTTTCATGTGTAAAAGAAAAAAAAAAGAAACAGAAGAAAAGGAGACAGTGAGATCAAACTGTATATAGCCAAATCATCCAGAGAGAAGCAAGTTTAAAGACAAACTTAGAAACACACATCTGCTCCCTGTTTGCCCCACTTTTTTATTCCCAGTGCTGGAACCTGAACCCAGATGCTAGGCACATATGCTAAGCATGCTACTCTACCATGGAGCCACATCCCCAGCCTCTGGCCCCATATTTTGATCTGTGTTCCAAAGGTAAGACATGGGTGTTATTGGTCTTTCTGGGGCAGCTGTTAATTAGTTTCAGAGTTATAACTTGGCTTAGACACACAGTAGGTGGGGACCTAGGCACAGGGCATTATGGGATAGCAACTGATAAATTAAAGCTATAGAGGGTTAGCAAGTCATTAGGAAGGCTGCTTGCCCAGCTAGGCCACAGCAAAGCATAACAAAGCATGGTGTCAGCAGCGAACGATACCTCTGGTACTTTTTACCTGAAGCCACGCAGGCAGACACTCAGAGGAAATATGGTCACAAGCCTATTGCACACATTAACGTAGACTTCAGTAAAGGGCTCATGCATGAAACAAGACAGTTCATCTAAACAAGCCTCTCCAGGAGGCTCATGGTTAAGAATTTTCCAACTGCTCTGTATCTGAAAAAGGCTGTCTGATCGTCAGCAGCAAACGCCAATGAGCAATGAGCGCCGCCCGCACCCTGGAACATTCCAGGGGGAGTGATGCCAATCAAGGCACACCTACATTTCTAACATTTAAGGACAAGTAGGATTTCAGACCTGCCTACGGAAGAGCAAACACTGCAGAAGCAGCCAGAAAGGTTACAAAAAGCCTTCCTGAAGTACAGGTTCCTGTTGGCAGGCCCTCCTGCTGCTTCACAGTTGGTGGTCAAACTGCCTGTGACTTGAGGACCTCATCTGAGTCACAGAAGGACAGACTTCCTTAAAGCACTATAGCTCCTGTGATACTACAATCAGGCTGACACTGCAGTTTTCCCCGCTGTAGTAGAGCTGAGGGAGGCCTACTGCTGCCTAGAGCCTGTACCTCCAATACCACAACAGTCCTGGTCATGGTCCGAGCTGCAGCCATCACCTCTCAGAGAGGCAATGGGATTCCCATCATTAAGGTCAGGGCCCACGTCACCACCCTGCAAAGAAGCCCCAGTACCCACAGTCATACTCACAGCATCGGCTTCTGCCTTTTCCCTAGAAACTCTCCCACCTGCAACAACTGATTCTAAGGCTGTGACCCAGCGCTGTTTGTCAGGAAAGCTGGGTGCGAGCAAGTAGAGGGTTCTTCCGGGCCAGCAGGTAGTATGAGGGTGAGACTCCATCTTCAGTATGTATGGAACATCTAGAAGATTTCAGAAATGCACAGGATTGGGTGTGGATTTCCCCAGTTCCCATTGACAGGGTGGCCTTGAGGGATCAGAATCCCACCAAACCTGGCAAACTCCCAGTTCCCATCAAGTTGAAGGAGTCAAGAAAGTTGGTCCTTCATGGCAGAGTCAACCTCCATCACATCCCCCTCCAGCCTTTCCTCATCTGTCAAACCCAGCCCCCTACCCCCACCCCGCCAGGGCAGGGCACTTCCAGTTCCTACTCACCTGCTTTGGCTGTATTTGCGAGTTCAGAAGCACCAACGGCACCATGAATAGATACATCCCCATCGGGAAGGCACAGCTCAAATTCTTCCACCGGCCTCTGTCCAGCTTGGTACAAAGAGGAAGGGCAGAAAGAAAAACAAAAGAACAGGACCAAGAACGAGGGAAGAGGAGAGAGAGAAGAAGGACGAGGGGGAGGGGAAGGGAGAGGAGGAGAAAGAGGGAAGGGGAGGGGAGAAAGAAGAGATGGAAACAAGAAATGCATATGAAGAGAGCGCACAAGACAAAGAAAGAAAAGGTGTGCAGAGAAGGCAGAGAGGGAAGATAAAAAAAAATAAAGTGTGTCAGATGAGTGGCACAGTCAACTTTCTGATGACGTTGCGGATTTATGAGCTAGTTGACAGGCAGAAGTTCTCTGGTGTATTAGCAGGTGGAATCTTCGGGGCGGCACCCTGCGGGTTCTTCAGGGGGGAGACCTATAGACGTGAGTATCGCACCAATAACCTTTAGAGAAGTCATTCGGCTTTTAACTTTCAAAAGTGTAGAAGTGTAGAAGGCTTTCGAGGCGGTCCAAAACCAAACCAAAACAAAAACCAACAAAAAAGGAACAAAGCCTTCACACTGGGAGTCCTGGGTTAGCCCCGTGCAATGAAATCCCCCCTGAACCATTCATTTACCTTCTCTGGCTTCATTGTCATAGATGAGAACTTTTGATCCCTCCAAGACAATGTACTTCCTGTCCCAACCTTGCTGTCCTCGTTTGTTATTCCTAGGAGAAGACAGATGGACACGAAAATGTATGAACTCTGATGGGTCAGACTGGAACAGAAGGTAGGAGGAAGGGTTCCTCAAGAAGACACTTCCCTAGAAAACACCAAGAGTGGAAATGGCTTGTGACCCTCCACACCAACACCAGCCTGAGCCCAGGCAGCCCTGCAGTGGTACCTGGGCACCTTCATCCACCCTTCCAGGTGCAAGCTGCTGCTGGGCTCCTTGCTCTGGAGACCCGGGGAGTTCATTTTGTCACGGCAGAAGGCCTCGGTGAAGTGTGTGGCATATTCAGCAGGTAGGCCACAGGTGGCTGGCAAGCAGGTGGAACACTTGGGGTGACACATCACCTGACATTCTAGGGGAGAGCAGTGAACAACCGGAAAACAAGCTCAGCTGAGCTTTCACAGTTCCTCCCTGCAGCCAGGCCCAGAGCTGCTCCACCCCAGCCAGGTCCTCCAGCCATGCCCTGCACACAGGAAATCCCTATGCTTTCCCAGGTGCCAGGCCCCTACAGAGAAAGGACACGAGAGAGCTACTGCCCTCCACCCAGGTTTCCTGGCTTCAATCCAAGCTGACCACAAACAGGTGTGTACAAAAACATATTTGCATATTTCAGTTGGAACCAGGGAGGGAGAGACCAGCCAGATACTAAGGGGCTGGAAATTAACAAAGATGGATGTATTTTGCACATTGACTTGAGTCATGAGCTTTAGAAATCATTGCTTTAACAGGAAAAATGTTGTGCTCCCACTGAAGTGAAAAGCTCAGCAGTGAACTCATTACATGACAGCTTTAAAGTATCGCCTCTATCTGATGGTTTTACAGATGGAGATGCACAGGTGCCCAGCACAGATGCACGACCACTGCTCTTACCAAGACATTTGGATGCCTGGCGTCCAAAGTGCACAGTATCCAGACACACAGCACACTTCGTGGCTCGCATGTTCAGTCCAACATTAAATCGGTGAGGAATATTGTGGTGCATGCGCTCCTTAAGACGCCGATTAAATTCTAAAGGGAAAAAAGTTATCATTAAGTGAAAGTGAAAAGAGAGTCCACAGAATGTGATAACAGTATTTGAAAAGCATGTTTCCAATTAGGATTTGTATCTAGAACACATACACAACTCGGCAACCTGAATAAACAAACATTTCCCCAAAAAGGATGAATGGCCCAAAAGCACCTGAAAAGATGCTCAGTGTCATTGGGCTTTAGGAAAATGCAAATTAAAACCATCACAGTGAGATGCCTTTACACCAGGGCATCTAGAATTCAAAAAATGGAAAACAAAAGTTGATGAAAATGTAGAGAAATGGCATCCTCCACACTGTCCCCACAAAAGTATGAAATGCTGCAACCCTTTGGGAAGCCAGTCTTGCAGGTCCTCAAAGTTAACCATAAAATTACATGACCCGGCAATTCCACCCCTAGATTTCTACACAAGAGGATTAAAAATATATGAACCTACAAAACTGCTGCATAAATATCACAGGGGCACAACTTATGACAGCCAGAAAGTGGAAACAACTCAAGTGACCCAGGAGATTAATGGATAAGAGGCAACAGCCTGATGATGACATATTATTCAGTCGTGAAGAGATATGGGGTGCTGATGGGTGAATCTCAAAGACAAGATGTTGTGTTTAAAGCAAACAAACAAAACAACAGAAAGCTACATGTAGAATGATTCCATTGGTTTGAAAGACCCCAAAAAGCAAATCCACAGAAAAACATTAAATATGTGGTTGCCAAGGGTCAGGAAGAGGCAAGAACGAAGAATGCCTGCCTAAGAATTCAGAGGTCGTCAGAGAGGGTTCAAAAATCAGTGAGATGATGATTATACAATCTTGTGAATGTACTAAAAAACACTGAAGCATGCATTTTAAGTCAGTGACTTATAGAACATGAAAATTCTATCTTAAAGCTATTAAAACATTAATTATAAAATTATTGTACATACATCTAGATTGATTATGAATTAACTTATGACCTCCATGATCTGATAATTCTTTTTTCATGTAAGAACAAATTCCTAGTAGAAGGCTGATGATCATTAATTTTGTAAATCTTTTAGTTATTAAAGCACTTTTCCAGATGAACTCACAAACTAAAATTTTTTACAGCATCAAATTTAGAAAGCTTTTGAAACTGTTATTTTTTTGTCATGTTTTGAAACTATTTAGTTATTAAATGTAAAAAGAGACTGAAGACTTCTTTTATGTCCATTTTTTTCATGAGTAATTTTTTATTCAAAATTCAATGTTTTGGGCCCAGAGAACTACTGATTCTTACATATATATATTCTAGTCTGTTAGGATCCAAGTTTGGCTCTCATCACCCACATTGGGCAGCTCACAACCACCTATAACTCCAGCTCCAGGGGATCCAATGCCCTCTTCTGGTCTCTGTAGCCACCTGCACTCTCATGGCATGGCATATATTCACACAAATGAGTACACATGCACATAAATAAAATAAAAATCTTTAATTTAAAAAAAAATCAACAGGGCTGACTTTTCCCCCCATTTAATTAGATCTCTCTCAACAGTGACCTAAGTAATCAGAGGAATTTTACACAGAGAAAAGCTCAGAATAGATTTCTACACCCTTTCCTGCTTGGGTCTCCATCAGATTACCCCACTTCCCTTCTCAGGTATTTGTAAGAAATCAATAACATGAATCACAGTGACACCGAAAAGGTGTGGGACACACCAAGGAGGAACTTGGGGACCTGTACAGGCCCAGAGAAGCCACCCCATGAAGCCTGGCAATGGAAAGCCCAGCCAGGAACAGCTCTTTCCCACTGTGGATGACTTTACTCCAGTAAAGCTCTTTGACCAAGGCATGATATAAACAGGAAAAAGATGATACCTTGTTTGGAGGAAAACAACCACCATGAGACAAAAATCATTAAAATTCACAACCAAAGTAGGTTTGATGGCAAAGCCAGAATGCTAAACCTCAGCACTATTCTGCTCTCCCCAAGGGTTTTCAAACCATTTTCCTTGGCCTTTTGAAAAGTCCTTAACAACTCTAGGTGACAGAGTACTTTTGAGACCACAAAGAAAATGCTTTACCCTGTCCGTGGTCATAAACTGACCACACGTTGGTAACATTTGAAATGCATATAACCTTTTCCCCAATGCTTCGTTTCCCAAGAGTTAATTCCACAGTCACAACGCTGATGAAGGTATAGGATATCCGCTACAGAGTATATGTGGTAACAAGAGACTAGAAACAACCTAATAACCATCAGCAGGGGTCTGGTTTAATAGATGACTCATATACCTATATCGTGGATACTGTGAAGTCCTTTTCAAGACAGAAATCCAAAGGCCCTAATAAGAAACACTAAACAAAACTATAAGGTATCTTATGGTGTACAGCACAGTGAATGATATTTTAAAAGGGGGAGCTAAGAAAAGCATGTTAATGTCCTCATGTTCTTTAAATACATTCATATCAGGTACATCATGAATACTGCCGTGTATATGTCCATGAATGATTGCTCAAAAATTCAATGGTTGATGCTGAGTAATGAATGGGGAAAGGAAACTCCTTAGCATTTCCTACGAATTTCAAAAGCCTGGACTTATTTGTTTTGAGACTGGGTCTCCTTGTAGCCCCAACTGACTGGAACTCCATCTGCCTCTGCCTCTCAAGTGCTGGCACTAAAGGCATGCATCACCACACATGGCAAAAATTTACACTTCTTAAAAGGTAAAAAAAAAAAAACAAAGGAAAAAAAAAGATCTATACAACTCCAACCACCCCTTAAGAATGGATGAGTCCCAGAAGAGTTCTCACCTTGATCCTCAAATTCAGATACTGATGGTATTTAAGGTGAAGCCTTTGGGGGATAAGGAGGGTTAGATGAAGTCATGAGGACAAGTTTCCCATAATTATACCGGTGGTTTTACAAGAAGAAAAGGAACCTGAACTAGCAAGCTTTCTCTGCCTCACCTTACGGTGCCCTTTGCCAAGTTGGGATGCAGCATGAGGCCCTCACCAGATGCTGTTCTTGGATTTCTCAGCCTCCAGAATCTTGAGCTCAATCACAACTTCTTTTCTTTATAAACTATCTAGTCCTGGATATTTTGTTTCGGCAATAAAAAAATGGACTAAGACAAGAGCATACCCTCTGGAGTTGAAGACTCCTTTCTTCGGCTGGATGGCGGGGCAAGCAGACTCATGGCACTGGGCTGATGCTCAGGTGACCGCACAATGGCAGACATGGCGATCTGCTGCCTCGCAGTGGCTGGCGTAGATGGGTGTGGGTGGTCTGTGGCTTTGCGGTGGGCAGCTGCAGAGATACCAGTACAATACTTTTCAGTCAGCTGAGCTACTTAGTGGACCAGACTAAGTGGGCAAAATGCCCATGGGCTGCTTTTTAAGAACCCAGGACCAAATCAACAGATGCCATGCTAACTTGGTAACACCAAGGAAGCTGGAAATTGCTCAGACTTGCATGACATCTGGACTGAAAACTCTTGGGTCATAAACAGAGATGCAACTGGTCTCGGCCAGTCTCATGGAGAATGGTCATTTGCCTTGTCTATAGCTTTGAATGCTTTTCCAAGAACCCCTACCTTCCTCCCGGGCAGACCGCAGCTCGATGCGGGTCTTCTGAAGGGCTTCCTCCAACTCTGCACAGCGTGCTTTCTCCTTCTCCAAGGCCAGCTTCAGCTCATTGTACTGCAGAGGAACCTGTGTGGGCAAAGCAGGGTCCTCTTTCCGTCGACTAAATAAACCCTAGCAATGGAAACAGAGATATCTCCTAACTCCTAGAAACTGGCACTGTACCCAAGCTAAAGGAAAGCTGACTCGGGAGGAGCAAGCCACCAAGGCCAGGCACATACTCACTGTAAGTGTGTTTAGGAAAAATGGCATGTGAAGGGGGGGAAGGGGAGGCTGAGCCTCAGCCCATTCCAGTCAGCTGAAAAAAAAGTGGTGCGGAATTTTCACCAAGAGAGTTAAAGATGCTTGAACTGCCACCACCTCTTCCTTTAGCATTCCCAAGACAGGAGTCATTTCCCGGGACGCTTTCCCCCTCAGAAAATGGAATCAGGAGAGATGGAGTATGGAGCTGGGAGAGGTGTGCAGGGGTCTCTCGTCTTTGAACTTGTCTCATGGTGCTTGGTGACAAGACACAGAGAGTGGTGTTTTATTTAAAAAAAAGAAAAAAAAAAAAAGCAAAATTTGAAAACAAATGCTAAAATGATGTCAAAGCAAGGGGTTACTAAAAAAATTCAAATGGAAACATTTACTGTACATGGAAGAAAGAAAACAGAATAATGTATCTGACAAAAAAATTAACTGAAAGAAAAATAAACGGAAACACCCTAACTACATCAATGACACAATCAGACAACAGTCCGCTGCTAAAATAAAAAAGATTAAGTATCATGAGTATAGCAAGCATATATGGTAACATGGTATGTAAGAAAAATCTTCCACATGGCCAGAACTTAGTAGGAGGCAGCCTCTGACCGCTGCGCTCAACCCCTTAACAGTAAAGGTGGCACCGAGGCCAGTCATGGACTTCAGTCCGCCACCCCTTTCTTCTAGAAAGTCTAAGTCAAACCCTTTACTGTGAAAATGCTGCCATGGCCACTATGGTTCTCTAAGGCCTTTGGGAAGAAACTGCAAGCTCCTTAGAGACCTTTCTGGAAGGAGAACACTTGGTCCACCTAGGAGAAAAGCTACAGTAGTTGGGGAAGGCATGGGCTGGGCTTAAAAAGAGCAACCTTCCCACATGAACTTTCATATAACCCTGTCCATAGCTGGGTTGTTTTATGGTTTTTCTGCAGGGGGAATACTGGGAATTGAACCTAGGGTGCCATTCATCATGGCTGGCTTTTCATCCACAGTTTTCATTTATCTATTACAATGTAAACTAGTTGGTGCAGTTGGTAAAATAAATAGCTATCTAAGTCAAGTTTTAGGCAGGTCATTCCAACTCCTTGAATCTTTGTTACCCAAGTAAAAGTACTAAACTGGCCAGTGTGATAGGGCCATACCTGAAATCCCAGTACTCAGAAGACTGAAGCAAGAGGATTACAAGTTCAAGTCTAGCCTGAGCTAGACAGCAAAATTCATCATTCTTAGTGCTTCCTGAGACATATACAAGCAACCCAAGAGCTGCTCAAAACCTACCAATCTCTACAAAACCCCATACTGTGACCTGCCCAACCCATCCAGAGTCCTATACACAAGACCTTCAAACCCGTTTGGAATTTTGATGTTTGACCTATGCATAAAACCTCTCTCTACAGATGACCCACTATGGCAACCCCACCTCCTCTGTGGATGGAAAAAAAAAAAAAATCACCATCTTAACAGAGTGCAAAATAGTTTGCTAATCTTAAGCAATAATTCCCTTTGATAAAGGCTATACTAATTATATCCAAATCTATTTCTGAACCCAAAATAGAAGCAAATACTTTCTTCCCTGTTCCTATGAACAATGGTGTCAACCCAGTTGTAAGTGATGGACAAGACCTTCCTCCAGTCAAGCACTTCGACTCACCTTTTTCTTTTTAGCTGGTTGGTCCATTTTGGCTTGTAGAAAATCAATGAGCTTGGTTTGTTGAGAAATAGTGCCTTCCATTTTCACCTTTTCATGAGAATAGAGAACCTAAAATTCACAGAAACAAGGATGACCTCAGAACTAAATAGAAGTGTACACTTAAATTTGGCAGTTTAAGGTTAAGGGTGTTCAGGGTGCGGTAGCACACACCTTTAATCCCAATACTTGGTAGGCAAAGGCAGGCAGATCTCTGTGAGATCAAAGTCACTTGGGTTTGTTACATACTGAGTTCCAGGTGAGCTGGGGCTACAGAGAGACCCTGATTCAAAAAAACAAACACCAAGCAATAACAACAAAAGAACCTTAAACGTCAAACAGGAAAATTCAACATAAACAGTACCAAGTGGACATTTATTTCATCCCAGTTTTATTCTAAGGAGAAAAAAAAAAAAGATGGGGGCACTGAGATGGTTCAGGGAGTAAAGGTGCCTGCCCTGTGGTCTGACAATCTGAGCTTAGTCCCCAGGACCTACAATGTAGGAGGAGAGAACAAACTCCCACAAGTTGTCCTCTGACCTCCACATGTGCACATGTGCACACACCCATACACTCCCTCAAAATAAATAAATGTAATTTTTTTGGTTTGTTTTTTATTTATTTATATTTTATGTGTATGAGTGTATTCCTCGCATGTAGGTGGTAAGTCCACCTGTGTTGTGCAATGCCTGCGGAGGACAGAAGAGGGCATTAGATCCTCTGGAACTGGAGTTACAGACAGTTGTTAGCCACAATATGGGTGCTGGGACTCGAACCCAGGTCTTCTGCAAAAATGGCCAGTGTTATTAACCACTGAGCCATCTCTCCAGCCCAATTTCTTTTTGTAATTTTAAGAAAAAAAATGGAAAAATATATGAAAAAGTAAAAAAATATCAAATGATAACTGTGTGATGGTGGTCACCATGGAAGTCTTTCAACTTCAATGAATGCTTGAAATTTTTCCTGATTAATGTTGGAGAAACACACGCAGTATACAATGGAAAGACCTCTACTGATGTACCAAGACCTATTTTTCTTGTGCTGGTGATGGAAGCCAGGACCTCACACATGCTAGGTAAGCGCTCAGCACTGAACTATCTCCCAGCCCCCTGCAGAGACCTTTGAGGTAGATACTGGTCCTTACCTGAATGTTTTCCAGCTGATACTCCAAGTCACTCCTTTCTGTCTTCAGCAGATCCGCCCTATCGAGAGCTTCCTGTAGCCCCTGAGTCAGACGGAAAATGTGGTTCTTCTGCAGGTCCATCTGCTGCTGTAATTTGGCTTGCTAGCAGGGAGAAGGGGATGGCAAAAGGCTTAGCACCACACAGAATACAATTAGCACCCACATGGTTCCTATTTCCAATTAAGCTCCAGCATAACACCAGAAGTTCCACTTGTAAAACCATCTCCTTCCAGAATTTCTAGTTGCTCTCTATTCTGAGATGATGAAAACTCAGTGTTCTTTTTGTTTTTTTGTCTTTTTGAGACAGGGTCTCCCTGTAACCCCAGCTGTCCTGGAACTCACTATGTAGACCAGGCTGGCCTTGAACTCACAGAGACCCACCTGCCTTTGCCTCCTAAGTGCTGGGATTAAAGGCGTGCACCACCACGCCCAGCAAAAACACAGTTTAAAAAAAAACAAAAGGTTTCAAGGCTCTCTTAATAGCTACACATCACATGACCATGAGAGGCACAGCAAGATAACAGGAAGTCCATGATCGCTAAGGCTAAGAATCAATGCCACCAACAACTGGGTTCTACTTGTCCCTATTTGGGGGGGGAGACAGGGTCTTGGATTTCAATAGTTTTTAAGGAAAAAAAAATCACTGTGTAGGCAGTATGGCATGTACAAAGAGGAATTACATCAGCCCTAATTTCATGATTGACCACAAGTACATAAATAGTCAAAATTATAGGAGATATTTCTGCAGTGTAGGGACAAAGAAAGAAGATCTAGATACAGTACAGGAGTTGGTAAAAGCCAGGGGAAATTTTCCATTTCATAGAGATAGTTTTGTGTTGAAAATCTCTTCAATCTTTATAATTCAAATCAACTAGAAATTAGGACAGGGTATAATGATAGCAGTTTTATGGTTCTCTTTCCTAAAATGTGCTCCATTCCAAGGAGATGCTGCTTAATTTCAACTAACCCAGGTTATACTCTAACCATACTGGCTATAGCCCAAATATCTCCCCTGGCAGTCTCGACTCTGCAGACCTGGAACGTGAGGGCTCTGACCTAACTAGCCCTTTGGTTGATTGAAAACATGATGGTATTACTGGTATTACTAGGTGTGGCCTAGCTGGAAGAAGTAATCACTGGGGATGTGCCACTGGGGGCTGTATCTTGCCCTGAACCCTGTTCTGTACCCCATCTCTGCTTCCTGGTTGCCATGATGTGAACTGCTCTGCTCTACCAGACCTACCCACAATGAAGGACTTGCACCTCTGAAACTGTGTGCTAAAATAAATACTTCCCCTTTTAAGGGGACATCCCCTGTTTATGTAAAGTATTTTGTCACAACAAAGAGAAAGCAACTACTATACGGCATAACTTGGAATGTCTAAATTAAACTACAGAGCCCCTTAAAGAATAGAAAAAGAAAAGCCAAATGTGGTGGCACATGCCTTTAAATTCCAGGACTTGGGAGGCAGAGGCAGAGGCAGGTGGGTCTCTGAGATAAAAGGCCAGCCTGGTTTACACAATGAGTTCCGGGCCAGAACTCCCTAGGGCAGGGAGATCTTGTCTCAAAAAAAAAACAAAAGAAAAAGAAAGCAGTTAAGATGCTCTCTAGAAGTGGGGTCTTCTCTTCAGTTTCTTCCATTGTTTTACGACAACATTAATTAGTAAGCAGGAACCAGAGAAACATGTGATAGGCACGAGGATCCATTTGGTGACAGCTGGGCTCAAAATATTTCTCCGGAATAAATATGTCAACTGTCCATTGGCTTTCCAAGAAATAGGCTAGTTATTTACTATAATAAAAATCAAGTTAAGAGTGATGCTTATACCCTATGAAATGTTTTTCAAAGCCATTTATCTGCTGCCCAGAGAGAAGCAAATGGAGGTATATTTAAGGACCAGAGTTAACTCTAGGGTGGGCCTTAGTGATGTGCTCATGTGCTTAGACCTGTCCAACTTTATGAGAGAGAAAAGAAACTGAAAGAGTGATGTAAGGAACTGGATGACAGAACTGGAGCATGGAACAACTGCAGTGTACAACAGAGATGGGTCAAAACGACCAGGAAAAGATTCAGTAGGAGAGTATTTTTAAAACATCAGCCTGGGGTAGTGATGCACACCTTTAACCCCAGCACTTGGGAGGCAGAGGCAGGCAAATGTCTGTGAGACTGAAGCCAGCCTAGTCTACATAGTGAGTTTCAGGACAGCTGAGGCTCCAGGGAGACCGTGTGTCCAAAAAACCACCACCACCTTCAACTGAATAAATACAGGCCATAAAAAAGCTTAAAAGAAACTTTGAGGACGAATAGGTATCATTTCATAGATTAATGGGTGTCAATGGTGTGATTACTCAAAAAGCCCATAATTGGCCAAAGCTTGCTGTGCACAGTCCAGAGGTAGAAATATTCCACTACATAAAAACCACACACAGACCACATTGAGATCACATAAACTCCTAAAAAGATCTACCAGAAAGAACATGCAGAGGCTGGAGGGATTTGAAAATGCTTCACCTGGAACAGAGGCAAATTGAGAGAGATGTTTGAATATGCAATTATTGCAGAAACTACAAAGTAGTTATCTTGTAGGACTGCTGCAAGGGCAGTATGAAGGAAATTCATGCACCGTACTGAGCAAGGAGCATCACACACAAGTAAGTACTAAATAAACATTTGACGTTCTGGGGAGGGGTTGTGTTGTTTTGGGGTTTGTTTGTTTTTGTTTTTGTTTTTTGTCTTTTATATACATAGCTGTGGGTTGAATCCAGGTCCTATACAGGCTACACAATCACTCTACTGCTAAGCTACATCCCCAAGCTCAGGTTACATTAATTATTGATCAAATAATTTGGGGCTGAAGAGATGGTCCAGTGGTTAAGAGGGCTTGCCGGCTCTTTCAGAGGATCCAAGTTTGGTTCCTAGCACCCACATCAGGTGGCTGACACACCTGTATCTCAAGCTCCAATGGATAAGATGCCCTCTTCTGGACTCTACAGGCACCCACACACATGTGGTATACACACACAGACACTCATACACATAATTTTAAAAAAAATTTAAATAACGTTAACTATTAATATTGGTCTCTTCTACCAGACTACTTTCTAATTTCATATCCTTCAAAGTAATAGGTAGAAGGTGTAGGTTTTAATTAAAAATAAGAAAGGACTTTCTAACAATTAGAGTTGCTAGAAAATAGGTTGTAATGCCCACATTCACTCTAAGGATTCTGGCAGAGGCCCATCAAGGCCTTCCTGTAAGCACCAGAGAAGGGATTTTTGCCCTGAGTAGGACATAGGTTTTTTTTTTTTAATTAGAAGAAGCATTTCATTACAGCTTTAACGTACTCAATAACTAGAATTCCTCTAATGGAATTATTTTGAAATCACATAATTATTGAGGCTATTACCTTAAATATAGGTACTTTTATTTTTTATCTTTAAAAAATTATTTTTTATTTTTTAGAAGAAGCATTTCATTACAGCTTTAGCATACTCAATAACAATTTCCAGAGCAAAGATACATCTCTTTCAAAAATGGCTATAAAATTTTTAGGTTCACAGTTGAATTAATACAGTTATACAATATTGAACTCAGTGTAAACCCTGTAAGACATAAAACTGAATAGTAAATGGACCTTTGTCTTTGGCGTGACTTTCAAAGGACTGAGGAGACAGACAGATCCATTAGTAAAGTTTGGCAGGGGAAGTCAGTCATGAAGGGAGCTTCGACAACATTAAAAAGTCCTAATTCTGAGGCCAATTCTTTCTCTTTCCAAAGTCTGTTATCCCTATGAAGACCACACTTAGACTGAGGCCAACCTTATAAAGCACACATCACAACTCAGGATCCCAACCATGTTTTAGTGTAAAGATCATTCTATCTTTTTTTTTTTTTGAGACAGGGTCTCCCTGTAGCCCCAGCTGTCCTGGAACTCACTATGTAGACCAGGCTGGCCTTGAACTCACAGAGACCCGCCTGTCTCTGCCTCCCAGAGTGCTGGGACTAAAGGCGTGCGCCACCACACCCAGCTTTCTTATTTTATAATGGTTTCAACAGTCTGAATTCCAGTTCGAACTCAATGTTAGCCAGATACCTGCACTTGAACATCTCTGTGAGGTGCAGCCTGGGAAACTGGCAATGTTCTCACGCAAGTTACAAGTGAGAAGAGGGGTCTGAGTCAGGCTCCTGGCATTCTATTCCTAGCCTTGCCACTGACTCACCATGTAACCTTGGACCAAAGCTTGAAGCTGTCAGGGCCAGCTCGCCCTCCACAGATGGAAAATAGGACATGCGAGAGCATCGATTATTTCTGTTCTGTTTCCAGCCTGTGCTAATGTGGGAACATTGCCTATTCATCCAGCATAAAAGATCTCCTGGTAGATTGACAGGTTCTATTACAGGTTCCAATCCTAATCCAAAAACCTCAAATCTGAAACGCTCCAAAATCCAGAACTTCTGGAGTAGAAAATTCCACAACTGATCTCATGGAATAGGCCACAATCAAAACACAGATATATTAAGAAAAAAAATGTACAAAGGCTGGAGATATAGCTCAGGGGCACAGCACTTTCTAGCACGCATGAGACCCTAGATTTAAGTTCTAGTACCATACACACACAAGGTATAACATTACCCTCAGTCTCTGTGTATATGATGTATATGAGACATAATTTCATATTTATGCTTGGGTCTCAACCCCAAGAGATCTTACACACATGCAAATATTTCAAGTCCAAAGACCCAAATCCAAAATACTTCTGGTTCCAAGTATTTTGGATAACGAATACTCAACCTCTACAGTGTTCTTAGGATTATTTGGTGAATTTCATTCATATTTGTTTGTACACAGAAAATTAATTTTACTTTTTATATGTTGTGACAAAGCATGTAACATAAAATTAATCATTTACCCTTTTTCTTTCTTTTTTTTACAGTGCCAAGACTTGAACTGTAAGCCTCATGCATACTATGATGTTTTAGCCAGTTTTTCTTTGTGCGTATGTGAAGGCCAGAGGCCAACACTGGGCAGCTCCCTCTATCTCCACCTTATCTTTTTGCATTTTTTTTATTGCATGTATTTATCTCTGTGTACGGAAGTAGGACAACTTTCAGAGTCTGTTCCCTCCTACCTACCATGAGGGTTCTGAGGACTGAACTCAGGTCACCAGGCTTGGCGGCAAGTGCCTTTATCCACTGAGCCATCTCACTAGACCCACCTTATTTTTTGAAACAGAGTCTCTCACTGAACCCAGAGCTCACCCTTTTGGCTAGGCTGGACGGCCATTGAGCCCCAGGGATCTTCCTGTCTCTGCCCCTTAGCACTACAGACACAGGTTACTTCCACCAGCTGGGGATCCAAATTCAGATCCTTATGTTTGTACAGAATGCACTTTACCATCTGAGCCATCTCCCTAGTCTCCATTTTAGCCATTTTTAAGTGGCATCAAAGACACTCATATTGTTGCACAACCAGCAACACCATCCACCTCAGACCACCCTCAAATCCCCCACCTTTTAAAGTGCTATTTTATAAAACACATCAACGTAAGTAAAGCCTAAAAGACCTGCAAAAATTCCACTACACATCTCAAACTTAACAGCATGGTCATACTGTTTTCATCAGCAGAGTATATCAGGAGCTCTGAGTTTCATATACTGGAATTCTGGCTAATTGAGCTGCCGTATTCACAATGGATTAAACAGAACCCTCTCTCTAGCTTCTCACTAGACAGCTTTAAGAAGTATATTTGTCCTTGTAGGTCAATTCTAATGAGCAAAGAAGAATCATTAGTGATTCCACATATGGGACTTTGGTTGGGATTGGGAAGTCATCATCAATTTAAATATTTCCAGAGTTCGGAGAAAAGACACATGCAACAACAAAAGGTTAGGTTTAGGAGATCAATTTGAGCTTGTCATTTTATGTCTCAAAATCAGGGCATATTTTTTTTAATTGAATTAAGTGCATGTTCAAAAGACCTCATGAAATTTGGTACTTGGCATAATCTGATCAAATCTTTGCCCTGTGTAGGAAGCTAATTTGCATGAATGTTCTGTCAGCATGAAACTTAATACACTTTGGATATTAACTCTAAAGAACAATTTAACTCAATACTCATTCAGTCATGTGCTTAGTAAACCTCTATTCAGCATATACTTACTATGATGGGCTTGACAATTGACTAGGCGCCATACAGGAAGATGGAAATAACAGAGAGATGCTCTGGTTTTCAAGACCTATTACTGTGTTAACTAAGAGGAAGTGTTATATGACCACCCTGCTCTCAAAATTTCTAGTTTCAAAATCTGAATGTCTGATTTGAATCTAATGACCTGAACAAAAGAAATTTTCTCTTCTAAAATCTCCCCTGGGGGTTCAAGAGACAATTCAGTGGGTAAGATCATTTGCTATGCAAACATGCAGACCTGAGTTTGAATCGCCAGCACCTCTGTAAAAAGTTGGGCATAACTGTGTTTAACCTATAATCCCAATATTGGGGGACAGAGACGGGCAGATGTCGGGAGCTCACAAAAATGACGAGCTTCTGGTTTAGTGAAATATGGCAAAGCGCAATAGAGGAAGGTACCCCACATGCTGGCCTCTGCACAGCATGCATACATGGACATGCATACCCGCATATTCACATGCATGCACTGCCTCCCCCCACCTCACAATCCCAACTGGCTTAGATTTATTTATTTGACATCACTTATTTGACATGCTTTAGCTGAGTTTAACTAAATAATCATGTGCTGAGTGCTTGCTACGTGTATGGTATATTCCTTCCCACATGGCTTACCTCTTCCAGAAGCCTTTGTTTGAGCTCGCGCTCTGTCTCCAATTTCTGCTGTAAGCTTCGGGCATTCATCTCAAGCATGGCATGTTTCTTCTCCAGATCGTTGAGCTGGGCATTTGGAAAAATTGGCCATGACACCATATTTGGGAACGTTAGATGCTAAAGACTTTTTTAGGTGTCCCCAAACCTCACATATAAAGGATAATCAAGGTCTAAAAGTCAGTACATAAATGTTTTATATAAAAAAAAAAAGTCCCTATCACAGATATGAGGCAGGAATTATCTTAAGGGATAATATAGTGATATGTATAGCTACAGTAAGTTGTAACAAGATGACTGCTCAGGAATTTACTTGATATGCTTTAGCTGAGCCTACGTAATCATGTGCCTAGTGCTTGCTACATAACGGTGTCATAGCTTCTGGGGTAAAAGAATGGCCAAGCTCTCCCAAAGACCCTACATCTGGTGGAAAAGGCGAGGATGGTCCCTCCCTACACATGTCCACAGATGGCAACTTTCCTGTCTGATGAAAGGTTGATAGGAGAGATACGGCAAAGAAAAAATTATTGGGAAAAAAGTAAGATCAAGAAAGTATGCCTGAGCATGATGACACAGGCCTTTGCTCCCAGCACTCAAGAGGCAGAGGCAGAGGCAGGCAGAGCTCTGTGGTTTCATGACCAGACTGGTTTACACAGGTTCAAGACCTACCAGGGCTTACAAAGTAAGAAAACACAAAAGAAAAAAAAAATTAAGAAAATACAGCATTGGATAGCTGCACAGGTAGAACTTGGCTACTAAATACTTCAAAAATAGCCCATCAGGAAAAATATAGTCTTCAAATTAAACATAAAAAGGTCCATTTACCTCCAAATAAGAAATGTACTTTCCTCATGTTAAAATAAACATGGCCCAGCTTGGCGAGTCAGAAGTGTCCCTGAGTGACGAGCTATAGCCTTGAATCCGATGGTTCTGTTTCTATGAACTTCCGGTAAGAAAATAATCACAGATGTCCATAAAGGTTTATGTTCATCACAGAGTTATTTATGTGGCAAAAAAAAAAAAAAATTGGAAGAAGCTTAAATTCCTAGTACAAAGGCAATGCTTAAATTAGGTGCCTACATGCAATACGTGTTCAAAAATATTTAATAAGTCAGGAAATGCTTCCAGTGACAATTTTTTTTTTTTTTTTTTTTTGATCTTTTTGAGACAGGGTCTCCCTGTAGCCCCAGCTGTCCTGGGACTCACTATGTAGACCAGGATGTCCTTGAACTCACAGAGATCTGCCTGCCTCTGCCTCCTGAGTGCTGGGATTAAAGGTGTGTGCCAGCACGCCCAGCTGTGACATGATTTTTTTTAAAAGAAGTAAATGTGTCTATATAGAAAGAACCTAAATTTATAAAAATATATATGTACGTGTTTCTTTGTGCATAAGCAAACGGAAGACTAAATAAATCTACCAGTATAGCAAGATAATGAATTAAGACTTTTTTTCTTTTATATTCCTGTAATTTATTTTCTATAATGACCCTAAATAATTACTTTTACAAACATGAAATAACCACGTTATTTAAAATACAGAATTCAGATTGCCACTTTATGAGTATATATGCCAAAATAATATGTATATACATAAAGTTTCTCTGATTTCTACTTTTGTCTAACATTGAAGTGTCTGGCCTACATTTTTTTCAAGTCCATAAGAACACAAGTACTTCCAATGTAAAATGCTGAGGACTCCTATGCATTATTAGACCCTACTATGGCTTGAATGCCCCCAGAAGTTCTTGTGTTAAAACTTAATTCATATGGCAACGGTATTCGGAAGTGCAGCCTTTGGGAGATAACTGGTATTATACGAGGACGTAAGGTCAGGCTACCATGCTGCCTGGCTTCCTAAGTAGACACTTGAGCTAGCCTGTTTGCTCTCACTGTATGCTGGGACCCATCATAACACAGTCCTCAGTGGATGTTGGCACCATAATCTAATGGGCTCTACAACTATTAGTCAAATAGATTTCTATTCTTTTTTAAAAACTTTATATATTTGTATTTAGTTTTTTTAAGGCAATGCTTATTTAGCAACAATGATACATTTTAGAATTATAACACACAGTGGGGGAGGCAAAATTCTCAGTGTTTTAAAACTCCTGGCATCTTATTCTTTGAGATCTGGAACAATAAATCAGTATTCCCAGGTATTCTCAGACCTCTCAAAATTATGATTATTTTAATCATATTTTCAACAATTTCCACACTTCATTATTTAAATACCTAAATTCTTATTTAAATAAAATATACTAAGTTTAGTAGTACTTACAAAGAACTACTATAGCCAACAGGAATATTCAAACAATGAAATCATTTGGGGCTAATATCCAAATTTTACAAAGAACTGCAGAAATTAACTATCCCAGCACTTGGGAATTAACTATCCCAGCACTTGGGAGGCAGAGACAGGTGGATCTCTGAGTTCAAGGCCAGCCTGGTCTACACAGTGAGTTCCAGGCTAGCTGGGGGGCTACAGGGAGACCCTGTCTCAAAAAGAACAACAACAACAACAACTATATATATATATATATATATGGGCCGGTAACTATTTTTAAAAGTATTCAACATCCCTAGTCATTGGGGAAATGTAAATTAAAACTACTTTGAGATACCACCTTACCCCAGTCGGAATGGCTATCATCAAGAAATAAATCCAAAAACAAATGTTGGAAGAGGATGTGGAAAAAGAAGAACCCTATTCACTGCTGTTGGGTGTGCAAATGAGCACAGCAATTATGGAAATCAGTTTGGAGGTTCCTCAAAAATAGAGTTAACATATGACCTAGCCATTCACTCCTAGCCACATACCCAGAAAACACCATATCCTACTATAGAGGTATGTGCAGCCATGTTTATTGCTGCTCTATTCACTACAGCAAGGAAATGGAAACAATCTTGTTGTCCATCAACAGATGAATAGATGATGAAAATCTGGTACACACAGAAAATGGAATATTAGCCACTTCTAAAGAAAAATGAAATCACAACTTTTCAGGAAAATGAATGGACACAGAGTATATAATGCCATTGCAGGTCCTTTGGGTGTTCTCCCAAAGTATAGCACATTTCCAACTCAAATCAAGTCCTGCAATGAACAGTGTCCACGGGTGAGGCCACGAGGGGCTACTACCTTACCAGCAGATCAGAATTTTAAACTGTGTTTTGCACTGTTTGACTATTCTTTCTAAATTACCTGGTCTTGGTTACTTTGTTATAGCAACAGAATACAGATTAAGATACATTTATGATGTCCCTAGACATGGAAAATGGAAAATCTGAGCTGCCTACAAGTGCACTGAGAGATCAGCATTAGTCAGTGTCACCACACTCTTCGAGAATTCTCAACATGAGGTTTATAAAGCTTTCTAGAAATAAGATGTCAGACCTAGACCAAAACTTGACCTTCTGGGGCCCAGATAGGTATACATTAAAAAGTCACCATGGAAGTAGGGGAACCCAGTACCTACCACACCCACCTGTGCTACTGCCAACTAAGAAAGCCCCACAGTGAGTCACATCTGACATTTTTGGAAAGAACAAAAGAAGGTTTATGAAATATGTTTACCATGGGTTGCATGTGAATTTGTCTTAAGTCCGCCTTTAAAATAAGGAAACAAAAATGTTTCCCTAAAAGGCAGAATGAATGGGTGCTGACCTTGTCGGAAAGGCTCTCCGCTTTCAGCTTCTGTTCTTTGAGAGCCTGTTGCAGAGCAAGGATTTCAGCCTTGTGTTCCTTCACAGCCAACTCCACCACCTGGCGAGACTCCGTGATCCGCTGATCTGCTCTGGCCCTGCCAGAAAAACACAGGCCTGCTTTCAGGAGCCCCACCGCCACAGATCTGGAGAAAAGAGGCTGGTCCATTTCTAATCCTGATGAGGAACTAAACAGGGCGCAGGCTGGACAGAAGCCCACCTGAGTCCTACCTTCAAATGATGTCTTCCTTTCTGACAGCTTACAGAGCAAAAATTTGACCTACTTCAGGTTTTGGTTAAAATTGCCCTTAAACAGTAAAGTTCCTGTGGGCACTGACTTTGAAAAGGCTGAAGGGGGAAAAGGCATTTCCAAAGGCAACTGGGCTGGAATGAGGACCCTGAAGAGCCACAGCATAAAGAGGATCGTGGGAGACCCCATCCAAGTAAACATCCTCTATTTAAAGCATAAGAAAGGGCTGTTTGGGGTGCTTATGAGGAAAACGAAACTTGAATCTCATGAATGTGTCCCTAAGTACCACTACAGAAGGCAAAAATCAAAAGTGAACAGGAAAAAACAAAGCCCAACACTTCCTGACCCCCATTTAAGAGTCTGTTTTCCTGCTTCCACACTTTGGCTTGCAGATCTCTTCCAAGGGCAGAACCCTGCGAGCTCAAATCTCACTCAGTCTTCAATGCAAACTCCCATGCAGGGCTCCATAACCCTTCCCAGATTCTGCTCCCAGCAGTCCTGTCTCCTTGTCCTTCATCCAAAGCACAAATCAATCTCTCCAAGCATGTATCACTCGCTATTCTAGGTGATAAATATTCAAATATGTGGGAACATGATTCTTTGCCTCTTAAGGACAAAGATTAAAAATTATATTTCACTCGACTCCATATTCCACAGAATACGAAAAAAGAAAGCCGAGATCTCCCACAGTCACCCTGAAAGTTGACACGAAATCAAAGCAGGCTACCTCCACCTTCCTAAGCAGTCCATAATTACATTTTCATGTGTGGCTGTGTCCTTCTTCATTCTGAAGCCAAGTCCGATCCCCAACGTTATCTCTGATGGACTCAAGACATAGACAGGTCTGTGAGAAAGCAGCCAGCACCTCTAGTGAGGATGGGGGAGCCCGAGGGTTTGGAGGGAAGCGGGAACTGGTTCTTAAAACTGCTGCAGTCCTCAACAGCAACAAGCACCCCAAATTTGTCTAAAAGGAAACACTTCTTACCAGTTTCTCTTGAAATTTCAGAGTTCATCCTTTGCCACTAATCTTTTCTATTTCAACTCAACTAGAAATCCATAGAAGATTGCTGCCTTCTATGGCAGCCAAGTAAATGTGGGAGATACCAAAATGCGTATGATACAATCTAATTAGGTTTATCTTACCTTAAGGGATTCAGAGAACCACAGGAAGATGATATCAGCAAGGTTATGAAAGATGAATAAAATTCAGAAATAGACATGAAGTCATGGCTCAGACAGTGCCTTTGTGCAAAGTGAAAAACCACCCTTGGTCTTCAGGATAATTTCTCGCCATTTTTATATATCATAATCTACCATCCTTGTTAGAGCAAAGCAATATACCACCATGAGGTACAAAACGTCCATGAAACCTCTTCAAATAGACAGCATCTTCAGTGAAAATGGCACTCTGAACTATTACAGGCCCAACAGAAAGGGAATCTTGTGCTTAGGGAACTGAAAAATCGGCGGGAAAGCATAGAGAAGGTGCAGCCTAACAATACTGGAAAGAAGGGCAGAGGGAGGAAGGGAAGGAGAGGGAAAGAATTCTTCTTATAATCAGTGGTTCTCAAATGGGGTCCGTTCTGCCCTCACCCCAGGGAACACTAGGGAACTTCTAGATTCATGTATGGTTGCTGCACTTGGGATGTGAGTTGCTCCTGGCATCTAGTGGATAGAAATTAGGCATGGAGCTCAATATCCTACAGCACATAGTCCCTCAAATAAAGAATTACCCATCCTAGAATGCTGGCAATGCCAAGGTTGAGGAGCCCTAGAACAGAAGGAAAACCAGAAAGCCCAAATAAGCAGGTTTCATAGCACACTGTGATAAGAAACCTGACAAAACTGTTTCTACAAAGAAAGCGTTGGTATATTTGCCTTGATTTCTAGGCCTCTGCACAGACTAAATGCACATGAGCCACAACCACACAGTCCAAGTGACACTAGCTAGATTTACAACTAAGATGTTCACCCAATAGTCTCTCCTTTGTCATAGCTCTGAAAGTCCTGTATCCTGGGAAACTGCTCAGTCTCAGGCATGCTGACACAGTTAGCCACCCTGTTTGCAACTCTCAGGTAGATCCAGCTGCAGTCACCTGTCACTGGCTTTCTACAAACAAGAAGTCCCACCTGCTCTGTTTCTCAGTGTCCAGCATCCTCTGTAACTCTCGAACACGACACTCAAACTGGGACTTCTCGTCCCCGAGGACGCTCCTCCAGGCCTCCCACTGGCGCTCTTTTTCCAGCAGCTCATCATTCAGGGCCTCCAAATCCATGACCTGCTCTTCCAGCATTGTGCATGTGGTCTTCAGAGCCTCCATCGTCTGCAAATCAGTACCACTGAGTTGTGCCTTGTATCAAACGAGGATTTCCTGGAGGTTACTTTTGTCAGATCAGTCAGAAAAGCACAAGTTCCTAACAACAGACTACAATACAGTTGGTCTTTTTCTTCCACAGCCCAAGGGGACCAGATGAGAATGGATAAATGGTCATTTGTGACTCCATCTTAGAGGCAAAGCTCAAAGCTAGTCTGAGAGGTTAGGGGTAAGAGGGGAAAAGTCAAGCTTTAAAATCAGTGGCACGCACTTATAATCCCAGAATTAGGAGGTAGAGGCTAGAAGATTGAGTTCAATGCTAGCCTAGGCTACACAGTAACTTCCAGGCCAGACGGGGTTAGACAGGAAGACCCCCCCCCCCGTCTTTAAAAACCAATAGAACCTACTTTTAAAAGCCATTTTTTAAACCTTGGCAGTAAGACAGGATTGACAAGGAGCCCATTTGTAGAATGAGGCTCAGTCTTGGAATCCCAGGGAGAATGCACCAGGCCCTCCTTCTAATCCTTCTAAGAGTCCTTTGGGGACCCCAGGGCCTAGCCTGGCCTTCTTACTTGCTTCTGGCTGGTAAGCTGCATCTCCCTTTCTGTGATCTCACGGCGCAGATGGTCCACCTCACTTCGAAGCTGGACGATCTCATCATTGGCCCCGGAAGCCTCGTCAAGTTGTTTGGACAAGTAGAAGTTTTGGTTATTGAGTTCAGCGTTGTCCTCAGTCAGCTGGTTCAGCTGCTCCTCCAGGTCTGTGATGACCTACAAGGAGAAAGGAACGGGTTACACACCAAAGAAAGTCATTGTCAGAAAGGAACTGCTTATAGAGCTATTGAATTTTCAGTCTACGTGATAATGGGAGCCAATGTTCAGCCATCTAAGTTAAGGCCAAATCCAGGCTCCTTCACCAGCTCACTTAAAGCTCACATGCAGTGGGAAAAACAAGTCTGTCTAACTTGGAGGACATCTGGAAAGTACAGCAACAGCAAATCAATCAAGTGATATATGCATGGGGCACGTTTGAATGAGACTGCATTAATATCGGGGAGAATTATGTAAGTAAGGAAATGCGGGTCAAGGAAGAAGACTAAGAATCTGGTATGGCAATCACCTAATTAAACTGAAATTGACCTTGACACCATCTATAGGACGTCATCACTGCAGACAGCCAGAGTCTTAGAAAGCAAAATGAAGTTTTACCAAGGAAGAATGACAGTGAAAGATTCTAAGAGTTATTAGAGTAAAGTCACAGACAGTGAATTTAATTTCATGTAACAAAGGAGAAAAAAGTCTTAGGGGAAGCTTGGAATAATTCTGCAAATACAATATTGCATTACAGCACCACTTTAATGGATTTTACTATACAGTTAGCTCTCCACGTATATGAAATTGTCATTTTATTGAGAGAGATTTAATGATTTTGCTAAATTATTTCCTTGCTCAATAGCAGAATGACATCAATTGCTGTGCATTTAGCTTTTCTATTCTCTTCACTGAGGTTCAGTATCCGTGCTTGCAGACAGCTTTTATACGACATGCTTTAGAAGTTTAGGGACAATTTTCTAAGAATAGAATGAAGGACACATAGGCCATAAATTAAATTTGATGCAACAAAAAGAGGTAAATTAAAAGGAAATATCTTTAAGCCTATATTTACTAATTGTTTCCCAGTTTCAGACCCAGAATAGACTTAGTTTATGAAATGTAATCATTGTTTTCATGACTAATTCCTTATTTTAACTCCTGTGATCAAGTTGAAAAAACAAGTCTTCCAAGGCACATAAAATTAAACAACATCAAATAAGTACATTTCTCCAAAGTCCCTCAGAAAACCCATTTTACTGAGCTGATAACCTTTCAGTGTAGCAAATGGTTTAGTAATTTGCATTGAAATGTCAAAATCCATAGTAATTCTTAAAGTACAGGCTAGAGGCACACCAGGAGCTACAAGAGGGGTATAAAGGTTATCTGTGCAGGCTCTTAGACAAAACCTCATCTTTACCAAGAGGGAAAACTGGAAAAAGAGTCCCATGCCTTTGTCATTTCTAGCAGGCTGTTATGTCTCAAATGACCCCTGGTCACCCTTTCTGTGCCATAGTTAAATCTCTTAAAGTCAGAAGCAATCAGCAAATAACATGCATTCAACTTGTCCTCATCCTACTTGAAGCAAACCCACTGCTTAGGGCCTGTCCCCTAGATTGGAAATGTCTCCACTTAATCAGCCTGCTTCCTTCTTTCTCTTCTCCAGAGAAGAACAGTAAGAAAGAGGCAAACAAGCCTGGGGGAATCTAGAACTCCACACGAGACACCTTGAATGTGGGGCCATTTCTCCATCTGTAACATGGACTAAAACACTGTATTTATTCTGCACCTTTAATCTTTCTTGTATCTGCTCAGTCCTATGTCATATGAAATATAAGGGACATAAATTAATAACCAAAATGATGTTTTGTTACTAAAGCATCTCAGGGAACATACTGACTACAGGAACTCTCTTCATAGAATATATAATTTCCTTGCCATTGAATGCTATATTTAAGCTTCTGGGTACCTACTTCCTTTCTTTGATTCACACACACAAAATTTCAGTTTCTTATGGGCCCACTTCTATTACCTCTTCTCTTTCTCCCAAAATAAGATTATAAAGGGCTAAAGAAGAACCCCCATGAAAACCCAATGAGGTGGCAAGGTTCTTGCTCTTGCTCCAACTGAGGGAGCCCACTAGAGTGAGAAGAGCCCTCCATTGCTCTGTGGTCATCTGGTTTCCAAGGGTCTCATATTTCTGATATCTATTCCCAGTTCATGATCTTTGATTCTGTATCTGGCACTGTCTCATTTTCCTCATTTGACCAGGTGAGGATAACATGCACATGCCTTGCATGCATATAAGCATGTGTGTGTGTCTGTATGTGCATGTGTGTATATCAATCCATGTGTATGTGTGTATGCATGAGTCTGTGTGTGTGTGTGCACGCGCGCATGCACACGTGCACCATGCAGGGATTTAAAGCATTTTAACTCACTGGATTGTTCATGAAATCTGTCTGCCTAATTCAGGACACATTAGCTTCTGCCCTTTTCAAGCAGCTGAGATTGTGGTTAGGTGTCAGACATCTTGGTACACATTTTATGAAGTTCATACATACTGAACTGACATGAGATAAAGGCAGCAGATTAAAGTACAAAAGGCAATGTTGTCAATTTTTCTTAGAAGCAGGTGTTATTTTAGTTCTATTTTATAGATGTGAAAATTGGGACAACCAGGCGACTAAATAACTTAACTTCTGCATACAGCTAGTACATAACAAGGTCAAAACTTGAACCCAGCACTGAAATTCATGGATTGATTTTCTTACCCTATGTTGTCCTCCAAAATAGAAGAGGAAAAGTTCATTCAATTTGTTTTGGAGATCTTTGAAATCCGAGAATGTAGAGATATACTGACCACTTCGAACCTTTCTTGCTTTTGTTTCTTTGAGACAGGGTCTTCACATAGCCTGGGCTGGCCTCAACCTCTCTATCCTCCTGCTTCAGCCTCCTCAGTGCCAGGAGTACAGACATGTGCCAATATGCCTGGTGCCCTTCTTGCTCTTGAACCAGGTAATGTGCAAGAAGTCTTAGGTCCTTTGTGACCATGAGTATATTTTTTCCATTCTGGGGGTAAATGGTCTATTTATTGTCAGACTCGGTTATGAGTCTGTTAAGTTTTAGGCCCTAAAAGACAGAGTTAAAAAAGATACACTGAAAATCTTTATCCTAGCCTTAAAAACAAAAATTAAAAAAAAAAAAACAAGGGGAGGGGACAACTTCACAATGCAGTGGCCATCAGCACCGCCGTATAGCCTTGTTTGCACAAACAACACATTTTGGTACAGTTCTAATAGAACAAGGATACCAATGTTGTCTACTCTCTGTGTCAATAATAATAATAATAACAACAACAACAACAAAGATCTCTGTCTGTGGTTGTCTGTTGCTTTTCAAGACTATCTTGTAAAAATCATTCTGAGGCAAGCACACTGAACCCTCATACCTAACGAGGAGATGAGGAGAGGGAAATGGACCAATGGTACATCAGGACTGAAGGGACCAATCGAACAATGAACATCAGGCTGAAAACACTCAGGACTGAAATCCTATTTTAATGCCTCCTCCTTTCCTGAAGGCAGCTATTTGCATATTATTTATTTTTAATCTTATAGCTGACAGATTGATTCATAATTAAAGCTGTGTCATATGTTTGCCCACCAACTCCCCTCTAAAACAGACTGAGGTAGGGGTTTGGGTGCCAGATTGAATCAAATCCTTTTTTAAAATCCTTCAAAATATAGAAATGGTCCGAGTCTGAAAATTTCATTGCTCCTGAGCTTTTAGAAAGCAGCTAACTGGGTGCTCCCATCAGCTGAGTCATTATGGGAGTTCTCACCAGTAACAAAAATGACATCTCCTAGCAAAGACAATCCTGGACAGCAACATAAAGGGAACATCCATCACAGTCTTCTAAAGCATCTTGAGAGTGGCCTTGAACTTGCAAACATGTCACTAAGACTTACTATTATACCTGAAAGCCTTAAAGCAGAGGCTTCCAAGCTTTCTAAAGCAGTAACACCATTTTCTAAACCAAAGATTATACAGGGGCCCAACAGGATAAAATAACAAGGCTAGCCAACATCACTTAGCCCTTTCTTTGCAAGGCCCATACAGGCAATGCATCATCTCATTTAACTATTGCAGGAGATCTGTGAGGGAGGTGTCATCTCCAAAGCCTAGGGCTCTCTCTCACCCTGCACCCAAAGAAGAGTTATTAAATTGTGAGTCGGAAAATCAAGACATATTGGAAGTGATGACATATAATTCTATCCCTATTTTACAGACAAAGAAATGGGGGCTTGAGAGGATAATATCACAAGGTATTAGGAGGCCATGCTATAATCCTAGCTCTGTCTACCTGACTCCAGAGCTGATGGCTTGGACCACATCACCCAGCTGTTCTAGCTGACATATTAGTAGGGGACATTTTGTTGAGTTCCCCTCCCACTTGGGAAGGTTCCAAGGAGCTTCTCCACCAAATACTAGTGGTAAATGAAATAAAGATTCAAAGTCACTGCTCCACAAAAAGCAAATTTAGACAGTATAAACATCATATAAGTTAAGCCAGAAATGAAATTAATTATACATACTGGAAGATTCCATTACAGCTAAACTTCCAGTTTTAAAAATAGGGGGAGGGAATCTAAAAGTGTAACAGGTAAACTTTAGGGTGATAGAGATGTTTATAATTTTGACTGTGTTAGTTTCACTTTGAAACCCATCAAGTTTATTATACACCAATTAGACCTCAATAATAATATGAAAGGTTTACTTTTATTTTCTTATGCTAAAATACTAAAAAATAAAAGAGATCTTTAGGCAAATGGAACAGGATAACTGAGAACATATTTTTGAAACACTCAAGTTTAAGGAAAAATTAGTAAGAGAACAGAGTCTGGAGCAGGACAACGGCAAGTTCAAGGTCAGCCTGGGCTACACAGTGGCAGCCTGTTTCAAAAATAAATAGGAACAAAAGAATTAAGCCATACAGTTATCTGTATTTGCCCAGTGATCATTCATAAGCCTGTACGTGATATAGGCAAATAACTGGTACAAAATAAGAAACCAAGAGAAGAAACTAAAAAAAAAAAAACTAGATGGCGAATACAGGAAGAGAATCCATCAACTCCTCAAGGAACTGAGGAAAGGAGCTCAACAGGCATTCTGAGACCGGTCCATTCTGTCCAACCACCGCATCTGGGAATACAGACCAGAAATCTGCCTGCCAAACAGAGGCACATCTCATGACCCAGCAATTCCACTCTTGAGCACATGCTCACCCAAAATAAATGTTTGCAGTTACCAAAGGACTTGCATAAGAACATTCCTTAACAGCTTTATCCCTGATGGAAATAATCCACATGTCCATCATCTGGAGGATGGATTTTAAAGCTATAGTTCTATTCATACATTGGAAATACTAATGAGTAACAAACACGTACCAAAAATAATAATAATAATAATAATGTTGACAGGTCTAACATGAAAGACCCGCACAGACAAGAGGAGAGAAAACGCTAAGTTTAAAAAGTGCATATCCTCTCTGATTTCACTTAAATGAAGTTCAAGGTTAGACAAAACTCTGGTGTTAGCATGAGAGAAACCATTTTGGGCAAAGGATTCTAAAGAGAAAGGGACACGTGGGAGCCTTCTAAGGGCTGAAAACCTTTTTTGTATCGTCATCTACATCACAGCTACACAGGTGTTTGTAGGTACAAAACTTTTGACAGAGTACACCCATGACTAGTTGTGCTTCACACACTTCGCTATATGTGCTCTCCCTAAAGTAAGAGGGAAAAACCAGATACTGTAGAGAGGTGAACAGCTTGTTATGGGGGGTGGGGTGTATAGACACAGAAATGTACAGGGGGCTTTTTGGAAATTCACAGATGCAAATCATACAAGCATCAACAGCAGCATTGAGGACCAAGAAAGTCATAAACGGATGAAAAGACCAAAGAAGAGTCACGGAAGCACAAATAAGGAAAACATCCCCATCTTCTGGAAGGGGCCTAGTTCTGTCCTTCACTTTGATCAAAAATAGACTTTGCTTCTCCACTGACTCTACCCTATTACATAACCTGTGAACGATGCTTATCTGTTAATAGAACTCTCAATGTAAGGAATGTCACCCTAAAGGGTCCAGGATTTTGAATTTGCATATTAAAAAGCAGATTTTATCTGTGAGGAAGTTAAACTTTCCTAGTTCACAGGAGAAATAATCGGTCCTCTTCTTGGCAGAGGTCACAGCCTAGAGGAATCTCACAGACATCCTGTCCCTGGCATCCAGGCAGTCTCTTGGACAGGTAGACCAGGGAACCTTCCACTCTGGGGAAGGAGGATGAACTACCTTGCGGTTTTTGTCAAAGCTGCTAAAATCTACTTGTGGTTATTTCACAGTAAGAAAATAACTGTTCTTGAGACAGGGTCTCACTATGTATCCCAGACTGGCCTTGATCTCGACATCCTACCACCTCAACTAGCATTACCTAATGTGCTGTACCCAGCTACACTGAGAACTATTTATTTTGATCATCCCAACTATGTTCCTCTCCCAAGTACAAAGACTGGTTTTGCTCTCCTTAAAACTGGCAGCAATTGAAAAGCCAGAGGTTATCTGGGCCTCAAAAGCTCCACTCTTTTAAGCTACAAGTCTAGTCAAAAAAAGAGCAGTCACCAGCACCACCAAAAGATATCCTCTTTGCCCTCTCTGTTTACGTTTGTTATTTCAGTCAACTTTCGTTAATTTATACTCACAGTACAGCTGTTACGAAGGGCATCAAATTTGCGCTGAATTTCATCTCTATGTGCCTAGAAAGTAAGAAGTTCGTTGTAAGTTTTTCATAGCATGGAGTGCAAGTCTACATGCTGCAGGTCAAAGACAGAGACCAGCAACTTGGCGTGCTCCAGCAGCCCTGCCAGCAGCTGCTGCGCAAAGAGGTAATTAATCAAGTCATCCCCAGCACCAGCCATAAGTAACAGGAATATGAGCTGCTAAGTTAAGTACCTACAGCTACTCAGACCACATCTACAAACTGTACAGGTATTTTCAGATTCACATTAACACCCGGGAGATCCTGGGGGAAGAAAAAAGCAATAAAGACCAAGTTCTCACCCCTTTTCATTCGCCATCCCAATTCCCCTTGTTCTTCCAGTTGACTCCTCCCCAGCCTAGTAGACACCCACCCACCCACACCCACACAACCATACTTCCAGTTGACTCCTCCCCAACCTAGTAGACA